TATCCATTGATGATAGAAATAAGAAGTGGGAAAGGGTTGAAATTGAAGATTTGCTGAAGCAGCTTTCATCTACAGAAGTGGATGAAACACCAAAGCCTGAAGGTGACATACCTGCTCATTCAGATGAACCATCACTGGAAGAACCAACCGAGAATCAATCACTTGAAAATGAACCAACCATGAATAAACCAATTGAGAATGAACCAACCAGAAATGAACCAATTAATCCAATGGAGAATATACCAACTGAAAGTAGCCCAATTGAAAATAAACAAACTGAAAATAAAACAATGTTAAAGCAACCAACCAAAAAGAAACCAGCTAAGAATAAACCAACCACTTCAGAATTAGTTAAGAAAATGGTACAAGCTTTTAAAAAAGGAGAGTCTAAAAAGTTAAGCACAAATTGGGTGCATTTTATTGATTCCGGTGGTCAACCAGCATATCGAGAGTTGCTACCTCTTTTTACAAGAGCAGCTGCACTGAATATCATCACCATTGATCTTACCAAAGGTCTTGATGAGAAGTGTGAGTTTCAATATCGTATTCATCAAAATACATCTCCTATTAATACGAATCTGAGGTATTGTAATCTCAATATAATTCGTTCAACAATTAGCTCTGGAGCTATGTTGCAACCTGTCAAATTTCCTTATGTGTCTGACATGCCTAAGCACTCTCATTATCTTATTCTTGGCACACGTAAAGAATTGGTAACAGAAAAAAAGCTAAAAGAAATTAATGAAAGCCTGATGGAATATAAAGCTAATAAAAAGGTCATTCCTTATAATAAGGATCAAGGCTCAATTATATTTCCAGTTAATACATTGCTCCCTGCTGGGTCTAAGGAAAGAGAGGAAGCTAGTATACAGCTTTGTACTACAATTTCAGATTTTGGAGTTGCCATGACAATTACGTTACCAATTCAGCTGTTTACTTTTGAGATTTCATTGCAATTAGAAGCTGCAAACAAAAAACGAAGTTTTCTTACAAAAGAAGAAGTAATTAAGCTTGGTGTGTCTCTCCGACTTGATAAAGAGTCAGATATCAATGAAGCTCTCCAATATCTACATAATGTCACTATCATTCTCTACTATCGTGATGTTGACATCCTAAAAGATTTAATATTTGTTGACCCGAAACCAATTCTTGATGTCCTTTCACGTTTGATAGCTGTTACGTATGTCGACCATGATAAATTACAACAAATTGCAAAACCACCTCCTTCAATAGATGAAAGAAGTACTCTCAAAAATTTTGGCCTTTTTAAAAAAGACATTTTAAAAATTATTGGTAACGAAATTTTTAATAGAAATTTTACCTCATCTCACATGATCGCTCTTCTTAAACACCTCCACATCATTGCTGAAGTAGGAGAAGAAGGAGACTATTTCTTTCCGTGTGCATTATCATCCTATGAAGAGCTCAATCCTCCACCGACAGAAATACAACCACTTCTCATAGCATGGGAAATTAATGATAGGGGAACAACAACTCTAGCCATCCCTCAAGGATTATTTCCTTTAACGATTGTACACCTTTTAGAGGAAAAGAAAATTGTCGAATTCAGCCCAAAAGGCAAAGAATATTACAGATGTCATGATGCCATGTCGCTTTGTGTTTACAAAGAATACTACATAGATATCATCAATTGTTATACACATATTGAAATGTATTTTTATGATTGCCGCAAGGAATTTTGTCATCAAATTTGTGAATTAGTCACAAAAGCTATCAAAAAAAGCAGCAAAGATCTTAATGTCAATGATGATCATATCTTTGCATTCAAATGCTCAATGGACGAACAATGTTACTGCATTGTCAAAGAAGATAAATCTTCTACCAGGTGTACTCAATGTCGATCACACTGTAAAGTATTACAAGGAGGTGATGATAGCTACAGATGTTGGTTTAATAATCCTCAATTACCCAGTCCAGGTTAGTAATGTTTTTAAGATATTGCATGTGAATACTTTCATTATTTGGAAGTTACTGTTTTTGTTACGTTTACTTATTTTTTAGGAGCTGAAGCATCATTAGAAAGGCCACCTACTACAAGACCCACAGTGCAACCCACTGGATTATTAGGTGAGTATAATATTAATTTAAATGACATACTTTAATTTACATGTTATTTCATTAGATACCAGTAATCTTATTGATGTGATTGATGTACTGGGTGATCATGGATATTCCGGTGTAAGTTATTATGATCTTGGTCTTCGTCTGGGACTGCACCCTGGTACACTTGATGTTATTAAAGAAGATAACAAAGGAGATGTTTGTAGCTGTTTAAGAGAATGTTTGAAAGCATGGTTGGAACAGAGAGATAGTGTAAAAAGGAAAGGTGGTCCAACTTATGAAGCATTAATAAAAGCATTGAGGAAGATGAAAGAGAATGCTGTAGCTGATGGGATTGATAGACAAAGTAAGGAATGAGTTTACTAATAATGGTTATTGTTTTACATTTCATCATAGCAAAAAATGAAATGGCTTCACTAGAAGTACCTCTCTAGGATTTACATGCACATCACACATTATTTTATACAAAACTAATAGTTTTTCTTGCAAAAATAATAGTGTTTTCATTTTTGATTTTTATCCATGTGATAGCACGTGGTTTAATTTTACGGAGTATAAACGAATAGTATACAGACGTGGGAAGAAGCCTAAGGAGGGTCTCTTCTAAGTCAAAGAATGAGTTCCATATATATAACAGAGCCCCCTACTAAAGGAAAGGTAGTTAATCCACCAGCAGCTGTATTAGTGACTACTGGTCCCTCCCCTCAGGTACTATTAAAGACCACACTGGGTGATATTGATATTGAACTGTGGTCCAAAGAGACTCCTCTGGCCTGTCGTAACTTCATACAATTGTGTTTAGAAGATTATTATAATGATACCATATTCCACAGAGTCGTTTTTGGTAATGGATTAATTATTATTAATTAGTGGGTGGAGTTATAATTATTAATTAAGTAGAATGACCTATTGATGTTACGTTGCTTTCCTACATGTACATGTAATTTTCTCTCTCTCTCTCTCTCTCTCTCCCTCCCTCCCTCTCTCTCTCTCTCTCTATCTCTCTCTCCCTCCCTCCCTCCCTCCCTCTCTCTCTGTCTCTGTCTCTCTCTTTCTCTCTCTCCACTCTTTCTCTCTCTGTCTCTGTCTCTGTCTCTTTCTCTCTCTCTCCCTTTCTAGAGTTTGTAGCTCAAGGTGGTGATCCCACTGGTACAGGAGAAGGTATTAATTATTAATAATTATTTGTTCAAATACTTTTATCTTCTCTTCAGGTGGTGAATCTATTTATGGTTCACCATTTAAAGTGAGTCCATCGTTACCATGACAACCCTTTAACCATGCCCACTCTAATTAACAGGATGAGTTTCATCAGAGACTCAAGTTCAATAGACGTGGTCTGGTAGGAATGGCCAATGGAGGAAAGAATGATAATACCTCACAGTTCTTTATAACGCTGGGAAGAACTGATGAACTTAATAATAAGAATACATTATTTAGGAAGGTGAGGGGTGTGGCTAATAATGATTGATGGGCGGAGTTTATGTTCATTAATTAATATTGTGATGTAGGTGACTGGTACCAAAAAATGGTTCCAAAATGACTCCCAATTTTTATTACGTTTTCTGATACATATTGATGTCCTAATACTGTGTAGAAAGTTTGAAGCAATTCCGATTAGAAATTTTTGAGTTATGACCATTTTTAAAAACGGGCCGATTTTTGAAAATTACCCAAGGCTATAGCCCATGGTTTTTTTCTAAAAAATGACTAAAAATTGACCCCACATTTTTATTGCTTTTTCTGATGCATATTGATGTCCTATTGCTGTGTAGAAAGTTTGAATCAATTCTGACTTCAATTTTTCAAGTTACAGCCATTTTGAAGAAAATGCCAAAATTCTGAAAAATGGTTTTTTCCAAAAAATGGCTCCAAAATCACCTCAAATTTTTTTTGCATTTTCTGATACATATTGACGTCCTTATGGTGTGTAGCAAGTTTTGAGTTGATTCCAATAAGAAAGTTTTGAGTTATGGCCAATTTAAAAAAATAGGCCAAAATTTTGAAAAATATCCAAGGCTATAGCCTATAAGCCCATGTTTTTTCTGAAAAATGGCTCCAAAATGACCCTAAATTTTTATGACATTTTCTGATACATATTGATGTCCTTATGCTGTGTAGAAAGTTTGAGCTGTTTCCGACTTCAATTTTTTGAGTTATGGCCATTTTAAGAAAATGCCAAAATTTTGAAAAATCCCCAGTACAGGAATTTTTCTGAAAAATGGCTCCAAAATGACCCCCAATTTTTATTACATTTATGATACATATTGATGTCCTAATGCTGTGTAGGTGATTCCGATAAGAAATGTTTGAGTTATGAGCATTTTCAAAAACAAGCCGAAAATTAGTTCCGAACCCCCAATTTCTATTCCATTTTTAACTTACTTAGTTGCGTCTTATCCTAAAACACAACTAAGTACATGTAAGTTGTGTTTTAATGTTAAAGACAACATTAGTTTCAGTCCAAACTAAATCAATTAATGTTTAACATAATGTCACCTCCTCCACATTATAATGAGACACACATTAACTGATCAATCATTAGCTGATACTAATGGACTAATGTTCATATACTGTATATTACATACAGTCACTGGTCAATAGTGTCTGCTGGAGTAGAGGAGGAGGTGTCTGTTATAAGGAGTGTATCTGTTAATAGTATCACATTGTACTAATAATAGTGATAATAATATTTAATAATAATTGTTTTTAATAGTTGTTTGTCGTTCCCAAACTGTTTGACTGCTCCCACTACTGTCACTAGTAATGTTATCATTATCTTCAATGAGACACTGGATATATTATAATAATTGTTAGTTTTATAGTAACTGCTGGTAGTTCGTCAACAACAGCTGCTACTAGGACCAATCATCAGGTAATTACATATTAATAAATGATTCAGTCACTGATGTACATTATACATGGTTCTCTTTCTCACTTTTCCAAAAAATTATAAAAACATAATTTTGATTGAAACCAACTTAAACTTTTTATCCAGCATAAGTACTTGTACAGGTACATGTATCAGGAAAATTTATAATTCTCACCTTTTTAATTTTGGTGAAATTTGGCCCAGGACCATTTGCTATTAGTAACGCAGTAGCGTTACTAAGTAGGATTCACTCCACTTCAAAATGGTTGTAGTACAGGGACTTTGACCTAATTTTTGTGCAACTTTTAAAATTTATGAAAAATCGAATTTGATTGTAAATTGTTAAAAAATTTTACACAGCACAAGAATATGTAAATGTATCAGAAAAAGTAGAGAATTCTCTTCTGACAATTTTTGACAAATACATGTACCCATAGTACAGGGTCTTTAAATAGGTATAATTCTGTTTTTTCACTTCTTTTGTTTTAACTCTTTTTTTTTCTTCTTTTTCTATCACAGATTAGCCCTGGTCAGGGGTTGGGTCTCAGTATTGTTGGTGGGCGTGGCTCTCCCACTGGGGACGTACCCATTTACGTAAAGAGGATCCTACCTGAGTCAGTGTTACAGAAAGACTCAAAGATAAAGACTGGACATGAACTGGTAGCAGTTAATGATTTAATGATACATAATGTATACTACATGTATGTCCTGACATAGTACAACTAAGGATTATGCTACTCAGCTACTGGTGGCTGGTGCACTTATTAATGTACAGGCATCAAGTGTCAGTGGTACAGGGAACAATGAGACTACTACTTAATACAAGACCTGCTGTATGGTTATTATGATATGTGAACTCTATTGAATGAATCTATTTTGATCCCTTCCTCTTATTCATTTCTTCTCTTGTGTTGTTTTTTGTTTTCCTTAAAAGTAAAAATGAGAATTTGTGCCAAAGTAATAAGTTCATTGCTCATTGCATACTTGAGGGCGTGTCTTATCAATTACTCTATATAATCCCGGTTGTGTTTGAGCGAGCCTGGTTGTGTTTGAGCGAGTCTGGTTTTGAACTAGTTGACAAGTTGGCATATTGCTGTTTAACTAAGTGTTCTTTAAAAACTCTTTGAAGTCTTTCTACAATTGATCAAGATGACAGAAAGTGAGTTCTCGATTATTTATCTGTTCTATGTAGATCTAAACCGTAATTCGATTACTTGCGAAAGTGTTCCAATGCAACCCCTAATGACACCCTTTTGCTTATGTGGTGAATAAAAATAATAATTTGAAGCATTAGCTATAAGTGATCATGTCACACACGTTTTACATTCAGCACTCCCTTCTTTCAATTTCAAATTATTCCCACACTGCTTGTAAGTTGTAACATTCAGTGGGTTCATGCAATTTCAAATTTGTTTTAAAGCAAACTTTAGCATAATGTGTCCACAATTAACTGATTTTGTATTTCATTGATTTTGTATGGGCTAACAATTATTTTTATAAAAATTATAATTTAATATGATTAAAATGATATACTAATAAAAAAACTGGTTAGCATTAAAAGATGCATGCATTATTGTGGTGCATGTATCCCACCCAAAACTATGCATGCAATGATAAATCAATGGCTAAACCCCATCTTGGCACTTATCCCATCATACATAATTATTGTTTATTTTTATTACTTTGTTGTCATTATATAGGTGCTGTA